GAATCGCATAGTAACCCTTATTCATTGTTTTGCAGACTTTAGTAACATTTTCATTCCATGTCATATTACTTTCTAGAATGCTACCAAGAAATAATGTTGTATCACTAAAAGGTATTTCCTCAGAACTAACTGTGATAATCATGGGATGGCTTACAGCGCGAGTAGAACTGCATACAAATAGTTTTTTTGCATTTACCATTAAAGAGTTCCTTTTACACCAGGTTGTAAATTCCTGTGCTACCAAGTTTATTTTTGATATGATTTGACTTCAGTTGATGCGTCAACTACAATTGTTAAATCATCTGCATAGAGAACTGTATGATCTGCAGTGAAAAAATTTATCAAATCATTGACATATAAAAGAAATATTAAGGGTCTCAATAAGGAGCCTTGCGGTACACCTTGATCAAGATTAAAAACAGATGACTTCTTATTATCGACTTTTACTAGGAATTTACGATGTTGTAAGTATGACCTTAACCAGTTTAAGAAATGACCCCGAAAACCAAGGGCTTCTAATTTATGCAGTATAATTTCAATGTCAATAGAGTCAAAAGCCTTAGTTAAGTCAAAAAAGAGTGAACCCACATACCTTTTTCGATCCAAAGCAGCGTGGATATAATTAAATAGTGAAATAGAAGCACTTTCTGTAGATTTATTAAGAAAAAACCCATGCTGGCATTTAGTTAAGATATCATTTTTATTCAGAAAATTTAACAAATAGGTTTTGATAATTTTAATTTGATAGATAGGTTGATGATGTAAGACAGAACAGGAAATATATATGAAGAAATGTATTTAATTATTTTAGTGGGGATTTGGTCAATACCTACTGAACTGGTATAGTTTAAGGAAGATATAACATTTTCAATATTAAATGGTGAGATCTCAGAAAAACAGAATGTGTTGTTAATTGTCATAGTTGTGAAATCGTTAAAGGTATAGTTATTAAAATGTTGTTTAATAATGTGTGTTTGACTGATGTACAAAAATACTCACCAAATTTGTGTGCTATCTGTTCTGTAATTATACTCCACTCAAAATTGTTTTTATTTTTAGCAGATTGACGATTCACAGTTTTCCATATATCCTTCCTTCTTTTATTATTAACTTGATTATGTAAATAATTTTGACATGACTCTTTTTTTGTCTCCTTTACCTTACGGATAAAGTTAGCCTTTTGTATTTTATAGTTAAACATTAAATCTGGATTACCACTAACATTTGCTAGCCAAAATAGATCTTTTAGCTTTTTTACTAAGGTGAAGAATTTCAGTATTGATACATTTTCTGTTACTATTAGTAGTTCATGCGTTTTGATATTAAACGACATGTATCAATATGATAAGAGACAGAGTTCAAGAAAGCTCTAGATGCATCATCCACGTCGTTTAAACATTTTCGAAACTCTCAGAATCAAGACTCAGCAAAAGATTAGACAAACAATTCTTTGTTAAGTTTCTATAAGTAGCTATCTGGGATGTAGCAGTATTGTTAATCTCAGAAATATTTAAACTAAAAGAAGTCCTAGATGATCAACTAAATTGTAATTCATCACAGCCTCACTGTATAATTGAGGAATATTGGTAAGAAAATAATCTAGTTTTGATCGTGAAATTACACCATTTTTGTTTGTAAATATTCTGGCTGGTTCAGTATTTTTACAGTTAAGTTCAAAACTAATCATGACATTCATCAATATAGATTTTTCCCTTGACTCTTTAAGATAATCGATGTTAAAATTACCACAAGGAATTATACAAACATATTTAACATAACAAATATTAAATACATGATATAATTTATGTATAGAAATATCAATATCCCCATTAGGGGAGCGACATACATTGAGCAAACAAAATTTTTTTGAGTCACATCTAAAACTAATACAATAACACTCATAGTTAAAATCTTGACAGATGTTTGTGAGAAAACTTCGAATATTAAATTTAAAATTAACCTTTACAAATAAAAGTACACCACCATGTATATGATCAATTAGATTACTTAGATTACAGTACGAACCTAAGAGATAATTAGGAAGATGAAAAGAATTTATATTGTTGTCATTACACTATGATTCGGATATACATAGTAAATTCGGAATTTCAGTTTTAAGTAATAATTTGATAAGATTTATTTTGTTTACAATATATTGAGAATTAATACATATAATTTTTAGTTGAATGGTGTTGCCTTTGTCCCAGAAGAAGAAGAAGAAGACATAAAATCTATCAATAAAAAAAGAAATAAAAAATAATAAAAATCCTGGTACTGAAAAACAAAAATCAATTAAAAAAAGAGACCATAAAAATGTATAAGCTAAGAAACAGTAAGAATATTTGAGAAGTAAAAAAAACTTTATACAAGAATACTAAACGAAACAGAAGTCAATTAATGATATAAACAACCTATAAACAACTATAAGGAGCTACTATTGTATGCAGCTAAGGAAGTATGTGAAACAAATAAAAAATACTCAAAAAAGAAACAGACATGATGGTCCGAAGAAATAAAAATGCAAGTAAAAGTGAAAAAAAAACATGGAAACAATATGTGAAAGATAAAACGAACGACAATTACAATAACCATAAAAATGAAAAAAATTCAAAAGTTTTATTGTTATATTCTGTTTTAGTTTTTTTTAATTTCTATTTTTTCTTGCCAGTTTTCTATTTAGAGACCTTTTCCTGCCAATCTAATTTTTTTGGCTTTTCGAATTTGTTAATAATTTCTGTACTGGTTCAATTTGCTTTTATTTTCGTTTTATTTATTGACCAAATGTTTCTCTATAAATAAAAATACAGCTAGCAAAGTAATTACAACTTAAATTACTTTCAAGTTTATAGTTGAGTTCAAAGTATAGTCAATAAATAATATTTGTCGGTCTGCTCTTTTAAAGTTCTTAAAACATTTATATTATTTATCAGTATTTTATCGACTCCAGAAGTTATAAAGTAGCTATATAGGTTACATGTGAACGAATTTAACAATATTGACAGGAAGAAATATTAAATATATTGTTATGTGTTTGTTTTATTTATGGACAAGAAATTAATTAGTATGAACCTAAGAAAACAGTAATAATAATCGGAAACAAAATCATAATCATATTAAAAAAATCTACAAAGAAAATAAATTCCTGCAGCTGGCTGTATACCATGTATCACAAAAAAGAGGTTAAATCTTTGTAAGTAGATATATTTAAAAACTTTGACATTGACAGCTACAAGTTCTAAAACGCTGCAAATAGCTCAGAGGAAAATGGAAAGATCAATGCTGTCGTGACCTTTCATATCCCTTCGTGACCGAGTTAGAAATGAAGACTTAAGACGAAAAACAGGAGTTACCGATATAAATTCCCGAATTGCCACACTAAAATGGAACTGGGCCGGACACGTCACCCAAATCAGTGATGAAAGGTGGACGAACAGATTGCTTGAGTGGAGGCCGAGATTAGACAAAAGAAGTAGAGGAAGACCCCCTACACGATGGACTGACGATCTCAAGAACATGTCAAGAAATTGGATGAAACGTGCTCAAGACAGAGCACAATGGACAAAAATGAGGGAGGCCTATGTCCAGCAGTGGACAAAAGGGCTGGGTGATGATATTTAAAAAACCCTTAAAAGGGCTACATCAAATTAACAAACGTTTTCGGAATAATAACTCCATCATCAGGTTAAAAGCCTAAAATAAGTATGAACCATTTAATTAACGCAAACGTGATTGAAATGTTGACTAAGGTTAAAAAAGCAAAATGGTTATACTTAATACTTAATAATCATATTAATAAACAATTCCTGCGAATGGGGGATGCTCTCTGGGTATTGGTAGCGTCAATGTCCAGAAGGTAGCAGGGATACCTGCTGTGGATCAAAAAAAAACTGACACCTGGTAGTAGGTTTAAAATGTAAACCCATGAAAATGGCGAATTATGATTTAAGTTTACGGTCGCTACCTGGGAACCGCCGGGGAACATCTTTAGCCAGCGCTGGACGTCACAACATGCGTAACGTCGGTGGCAGGTCCCTGTCAATAAGAAGAACCATAAATGAGCCAAACAACAAACAGCTTCACTCGCTGAAGGTGCTGCGCTGAAACATCAGCCGGCTCTCACTCAAGTGGGACAACCGGGGCAGCGCGTGAAATGGACTCTGTCCATGCATGAAAATATTTTGCGCTTTTATTATAAGGTGACCAACCTCGGTCAAGAAAGGATTGGCTATCGATAACAACTGTATGCCGAATTTTGCAGGGATTACCCAGAAATCCAAGTATCTGAGCAAAGAGTAGCAGATCAATACCGGGTGATTATAAGAAACAATCTTATCCCAGAGACTACACGCGGTATGATCAAAAGCACAATCGAATGGGAGATTCACAACCAAGAGCAAGTTCCCTCTATGCACATGTATTTCATTTTTGTCGCTCGTACTCCTGTACTAATCGCTTTGTCATTAACTGCAGATCTTCTTGGCCCCGTGCGATGACTACTTGATAGTCCGCAAAATAAAGCAATTATACCTAGGGTATTATAAGGTACCATTAGACATACTATTTTAAACACGTTCGTAACCATGAAAATTGGCTCCATCGTCACGTGGATGTGACTCAAAAAAACTAAACCATACGAGTTAGTACAATGAAGTGATATTGCAAAAGTGTTGTAGTGTATATAGCAGGAAGCACATATAAAAGAATACTACAATATGTGATAACAACTTTAGAAACTATGCTGTCAATTCTTATCGGTACAAGTTAAAGATAAAGTTGCCACTCAAGAGTGGAGGGACTTTTTTTATGTAATTCCGTACATAAATATTGCTATCAGGAGTATTGCAAATTATTTATTTTCGGAAAACTTTTTCCGTGTTTTCGGTAATTTGACACAGTACGACATACACAAAGTCTAGCATCGTTATGTAAGTTACTCATTGTTCCACCATTTAACAGACCATAATGTTACTCTGAAAGGACCATAATAATAAAAATAAACATTATTAAGGTTTACGATAATTTATTAATTAAAATTGTAATAATCACTTATTCCTAGCTCCTTCAATAACTTTAATATAATCATTAACTCCTTCGTTAATTTCTTTAAAATAGGGCAAATCCTCAAACTTTTTGATCCATGCTGATATTTTTGGATACTTCTCATCTGTTATTGGAACAAAGTGTGAAAAAGTTGTAATATTGGTAACAAAGCTAAGATCAGCGATGGTCATTTGGTCTCCAGCTACCCATTTGTTTTGGGCTAGAAATTTTTCTACTATACCAAAGGCTTCTTCTAACGCAGATATATATTTTTCGGGCACTTCTTTAAATGATTCAAATATTATTAATTTCTGCAAAAAAAAAATTATATTTATATTTTATATTTATATTTTAGGAGAAATTAATTCTAGATATTAAACTAAATAGCGTGGAATTCGAATTTATACGCGACTAAAATCAGAATATAGCAATGACTGCGATGACTGGTAAAATCGAAATTGATGGGAAAATAATGAAGCGGGAAGCAACGTTTAGATATCTGGGAATAGATATAACTAGTTACGGTAATGTTAAAGAAGAATTACGTTTTTTTATTAATTTGGTAGCAATATTGTACAACAGCATGTAAAATTGTAGAGATTTGATCTGATCAAAAATTATATTTATATTAAAAGAATTTTTAATATAGTCTACTAATGTCTAACAATTTTATTTAAAGCTGTTTCCTGTGGCATTTTAAAGTAAATTAATATTGAAATGGAAATAAGCCACAAATAAAGGTTAAAGTACGTTAATTGACCTTTAATTAACTTTTTGTACCTTTTATTTAATTTACTAATGTTTGTATTTAAAAACGATTTTCGAAGTAAAAATTCAAAAGTCAATAATAGTATATTACTTTATGAGGCGGAGAAGCATGACTTTTTTTGACGCCCCCGATATTACGCGCCGAACGAAGTAAGGCGCGTAATAGAGGGCAAGTCAAGAAAAGTCGCTTCTTTACCGAATAAAGTATACTATTTCTTCTTCAAACGTAGCAATTTTCAACCATAAATAGTACAATGATGTTTTTTTTTCAGCCAGACTCACCCTGATTACAGTTGTTTGACAGTTGTTTGCAATTATTAAAGACAGATTATTGTTGTTGCAACCGCAAGCGCAAATTTAGTGCGAAAATGGAAAACCTAAACGAAATTGAGTCCGCGGCTAATGATGCAGTAGCACGTTTGGGGCCCTCCAAGTCCGGAATAAAGTATCGGTTAGCGTACAAGCACTTCCAAGAGTGGTGCGATACAAGAGGAGTACGGCAAGTTAACGAAGACGTTTTACTGGCATATTTTAATATAATGGAAAATGAAAATAAATTAAAATCTCCTACAATGTGGTCCCGATACTCTACGATAAAATCCGATTTAGTTATTAGAAAAAATGTGGATATAAGCAAATTTTTAAAGTTACGTGCCTTTCTGAAAAAAACAAGCGAAGGATATACTGCAAAGAAGTCTAAAGTTTTCACTAAAGACGAGTTTGATAAATTTTTGTTTGAAGCGCCAAATAAGTTGTATTTAGGATTAAAGGTAAAAAAAATATATTGCAAAGCATGTAGTATACTCTACTAAATTATAAAAATATTTCAGATTGTTTTGTTAATTGAGGTTACCGGCGCCTGTCGATGCGATGAAATGGTAAAAATTAAGACTGTGGACATTGAGGATAAAGAAAATGTAATAATTATCAAAATCCCAGACAGTAAAACACGACAAATTAGATCTTTTACGATAATTGGTCAAAACTACATTAAACTGTATAAAAAGTATGCATCACCGCTGCCTGAAAATTTCACAGAAAACTGATATTTTATCAAGTACCAAAATGGAAAGTGTTACCGCATACACGGGTCACTCTTTACGACGAACTTCAGCAACACTTTTAATTGATGGAGGCGGGAATCTAGAATGCCTCAAACGACATGGGGGCTGGAAATCAAGCACGGTTGCCGAAGGATATATAGAGGATTCAATAAGAAATAAGAACGATAATGCTCAAAAAATTTTAAACTCTCATGATTCGGCTGCTGTCGGCAGGAGACATCAAACTTTGACAGGATCAAGTTAGATATGTAATGTCATCATTATTTGACGTTTGAAGAAAAACGTACATTACACTTTTATTGTGGCTTATTTCCATTTAAATATTTATTAGTTTAAAATGCCGAAAGGAAACGATTTCATTTAAGCTATATCCAAGGAAATATACCTGGAAATCTTCACAGGATTCTGAGGATTCTATCAGAAGGATTGTAGAAATCAGATTGATTACATGCTAATAAATAAAAGGTATATGCAGAGAAAATAGACGAAATATATGGTGGAGTAGGATTTCTTGTCAAAAAGTACCTCACACCATAAATTTCTACATATAAAAGCGTTTCTAATAGAGCAGCTTATATTATAATAGACCTAGATAATAAAACCAAGATCAAGGTTATACAAGAGTATGCTCCCACAACAACACATCAGAAAGAGGTAGTTGAAATGTTCTACGAAGATTTAATAACAGCATTAGAAGAAAATGATACAAAGTATACCATCATTAAGGGAAATTTCAACGCAAAATTAGGTACAAAAGCAGAAAATACTGAAACTGAAATAGGGATCCATAGTATGGCACACATAACTTCTTAGAACAACAAAATTAATATGCCATGAACACACACTTTAAGAAACGAACAAACCGAAAATGGACGTGGATTTCTCCCGATAAATAGACAAAAAACGAGATCGATTATTTCTTTTGTGGGAATAAAGAAATTTTTGAAGATACAACTGCTCTCATTCGATTCACAACTGGCAGTGATCATTGCCTTTAAAGGCCATTTCCTGGGTAAGGAAATAGCTTAAAAATTCAGGTCTTGAAATCCTACCAGAAGAAATAACGACAACCGTCAGACAAATGAAGGATGGAATGGCACCGGGACTTTACGAAATTCTAAAATTCGAATGCGAAAAAAACTATTAGATGCAGAACAAATACAAATAATAACTGAAATATTTAATGAAATATACAAGGCAGGAAAAATACCAGTAGATTGGCTCAAATCGGAGTTCGTACCATTGCCCAAAAAACCAAGAGCAAAAGTTTGTAAAGACTATAGGACGATAAGCCTAATGAACCATCTGCTGAAACTGTTTTTAAAAGTCATCGACAAAAGAACTTACCGGAAATCCGAGGAAAAAATTGCGCACAATCAGTTTGGATTTGTAAACGCTGCTGTTGGTATGAGGAAAGCTTTATTTAGCGTGCATGTACCTACTGTTTCAGAAATATAGAGATGTCAGCTGTGATGTTTTTGCATGCCCGATAGGTATTTATTTAATTAGGTATTAGGTATTTAATTAGGTATTAATTATTAAAAAAATTATTAAAATTCTAGAATGGAGACCAAGGACGACAACAAGAAGCATGGGAAGGCCTCAAAAAAAAGGTAGATGACATAAGAGCAGTGGCAGGTAAACAGTGGATTAGATTGGCGCAAGATAAAGAAAGATGGAAGCAATTGGGAGAGACCTACATTTAGGAGTGGATGGAAAATGGTTGACAAAGAAGAAAGAAGAAGATTAATTATTTAATTAGGTATTAATTATTTAATTAAGTATTAATTATTTAATTAGGTATTTATTAGGTAATTAGGTATTTATTAGGTATTTATTAGGTAATTAGGTATTTTGATATTTCATCCAATATTAACAAATTAAGGATCAGTTAAGATTATTATATTTTTTTTCGAAAACTTTTTTTCTGATTTAATATTCTGATGCCAAAATAATAAAATTTTACCTAATTGCTGTTGCAATTAATGTTTGGCATAAACAATCACGAATAAATCACAAATTAAAGAAATTATGTATAGGTAAGACTTAAAAAATAATAAAGTACCATGTCATATCATTTGATTACAATACTAAAATACAGAGAAATACAGCTCGAATTTCTGAAATGGCTATCATGAAATGGCTTTCGAAATACAACTGTAAAGTTCTAGAAATAAGAATTTTAGTCTAAGTTCTTCACAGTTTAAAAATGACTACTTATACATGCAATAAGCCATTTACTCAATAGACGCACTACATTAAAATTATTATACCGCTAATAAACTTAGTAGCCTTAAAGCGTTTATTGGCAATACAGAAATATAAATTACCTTAGGTCGTTTTAGTCAATATGTTTCATTAAAAAATATTTCTAATTGTGATGCATTTGTGCAAGAACTTTCTAGGTTATAAAAGTTTACATGACAAATAAGTAGGTGGTTTATAAAGATAGATATATTTACCATATAGTTAAAAAATCTATTCTACTTACTGTAATTGCTAGACCTCTTGCGAAGAGAAAGCCAGTGTCAAAATGTAGCCTATGGTTAAGAGTAGCTCTCGATTTTATATCGTTTGGAAGTAAAGACGAATTTTTGGCGTATGTTTCGATCAAGTACTGCATAATAGCATGACTATCAGCTAAGATGAATCCGCTGTCATCTAAAAGTGGCACGGTATGTTGAGGATTAGCCTACAAAGTAATATAAGTTATTTTATTTTTTTATTTAACTGCTGATTTTGGACAAATTATATATAAAAAATATTTAGATCATCAAACAATATTTATTTCTTTTTTTTTTAATCGACAGTACCTTAAGCTTTAACCTTAAATAACTTATTGTTATTCTGGCAGGCATTAATTGCCTGGCATTAATTATTCTGGCAGCATACAACACAAAAATTCCTACTTGTTAGTATTAATAGCTCAAATATACTACTATTGCAGACTTCTTCCTTTGAAAAAAAAAGAAGAATTATTCTAAATAGTGGAAGTGTTTACTAAACCCATAAAATTCTCCCTGTATATTTAAAATATAATATTTGAGTTGTTACAGTTTAACATGTAGGAAATGTTTGTATTATTCGCATTGTTCATTCTATTTAATATAGTTTTATTGTTTTATTATTTTTGTTTAATTCTTTTGTTAGTTCTATTTAGTTAATTAGTTAGTTCTATTTTGGATTTTATTATTATGGATATTTAAAGTTTTCCATTTGTTCCACCAGCTAATGCGTTGTAAAGTTTTTCTTTTACAAATATAATAAAAGGTTCATTAGAAGTTAATATTTTTAGATGAGTAAGGATGCTGTCAAATTGCAACGTAATGAAACTGGACAAAGGTTTATTCAAAATGCCTACCATTTTTTAAAATTATTTGCCGAATGAAAACTATGTTTAATTAAGTTGATCATTAAATTGTATTCATCGAATTAAGTAAATGTTACCGATGTTCTTAATACCAAAAACATATTAGTTAACGTCCAAATATCGGAAAGTCTCAGAAAAAAGTGTGCCCAAATATTAAGTTGGGCCCAATAAAACCCTCACTTTGCCACCAAAGTGGCAAAAGGAAATTAACGACTGGCGTAAATGATAGCAGAGTCAAAAATTAAATTCGCCATTTATCTTATGTATAAAGAAAGTAAGTTTCTATTATATATAAAAAATATATTTTATAAAAAAGTTAGGCTAATTTAGTTTATATCGTTAAGTTGCGCCAAATGTAGACAAATAACTTAAAGTTTTTGGTTACATTTCAGGTAGTATTTTATGGTAGTTTCAATAAACGAATAAATTTTAATATTATCCAGCTAATTTATTGTTATTTTTTGAAAAGTCATGATAATAATGCTAAATAAGCAATATTTTAAATGATATCAATGATAATCACAAAACGTACTAAATATTGTGTTATATAATCCACATAATAAAGTACGTTAAATAAAAAACGTAAAATCTTGGGTCCTCCAAAACTAGTTTCTACTAGGAATAATAGAATTTTAGTATAAGTTTGCAAAAAGGGTCGACGAAATACTCGAAATACTCTAATGAAATAAGCTATGAGCACGTGTGCTTGGTTGTATAGTAATTTCCAACCATTTCTAGTCTGTCAAAAAGTAACTGACGTCGCAAAAAAATAATGATTACTAAATTCATTAGACAGACAGACTGGTATTAGCGAACCGAGTATAAAACGCGCATGTGCGTTTGATTAGGAAAAATAGAAATTAAAACTTTATAAGCACATTTAATCTGAAATTAGTATCACTTAGACTAAGTTCAAAGACTTAAATTTTAAAAATGGTTCAACTTTCAATAAAAAGATACATTCATTTATCCACATTTTTTTGCAAACAATGTTATCTGTTAAAAAGAAAAATGCGAATATAATCGATTTAAATAATACACTTTACATGTTATGATTCTTATCTGGTAATGGTTTAAGATGAAGTGCCAGTCATTATTAATTTAATATCAGTAATTCTGTAATACATAAAATGATTTTGTTACGTCTAGTGATTTTTTTAGTGATGAAAATGAATATAAAAGCTCCCGAAATTAGATTAAAAACACATATTTCTACTGATCTGTATAACTACAGTTTTAGAATCATAACAAGTTAAGCTATAGATAAAATCTCGACAAATGTGCACTCGGATCATATTTTACTCCTACAACTGCAAGAAAACCCAATCAACATAATTATTTCAAACAAGTTTATGCTCAAACAAACGATAAACTCGATACTCAGATTGAACAGCTCTCTAAAAATCTACAAGTTTAAATGCAGCGCACTAAAAAACATGAAATAACAAGAGATAATGGGAGATGGTTCAAACTGCCAGCTAGCAGATCATATCTGCGAAATCTGGAAACCGCTACAAGAAAATAAAGAAAATTGCATCAGAAATAAGATATACTACATAGTTATTAATCAAAGATATTAAAATAGCATTACGAAAAGTGCCGATGTTCTCATCGACTACACCTTGCTCGTAGCTATGTATTATATCAAAGAGGTATCCTAAAAATATTGAGGTAAATACAAAATTATCAAAAATATTCTATTACAATACATAATTCTAATTAATTTCACACACTATTCGCTCCGTGCGTAACCATGGTAGGGATACCTTGAAACGATGCCAGCGTGCGTAGCGGCGTAGCGTGCGTAGCGGGAAATATAACAAAATTGGACCTATCTTAATGATATTTTATTAGGCTCCAAGCTAACTGCAGCCTTTTTCTTTAAGTGCCATCTCCGCGACGAAGATTGGCAATCATCATGTCTATTCTGATCTTCGAGGTAGCTGCTTTGAACAAATGCCTTGACCTGCAACCAAACCGCTCTCTCAGGTTCTTCAACCAGGAAACGCGTCTTCTTCTGCAGCCTACCTGATGAATTTAGCGTTTAATCCATAACTTTTACTATTATTGGGTATTGTATTCTATGCTATTATTGTTTTTAATTACATGCTCTTCCATATGACAAACGTCATTTGCCAGTACTAGATTCTTCCCTTTCTTTTCCGTTTAGGGTTGAAAAGATAAATTATGACGCATTTTTAGAAATCTAGTTCTTAATACTACATTAATTTTGTACATAAACTGAAAAAATATAACTAAACAAATAATTATTAATAATTGGCAATTTTGTATGTATTTAACATATGTTTAACCTCAAATTGGAAGGTGAAAGACTGTCGGTAGATGAAGATGAAGGCGGTAAGTGACGCGTCAGTCACGCATGGAGCGAATATCGATAGTTGTTTTTATTATGATTGAACGAATTTAAAACGGATTATACAATTTAATATATGTCTGTTTGAACTGCATTTGAGGACTGCATAGTGGACCAATATAAAACTTGGACAAAAATAAATCCATACCCGGTGTTAGACATTGTATAAAATATCGTTCAACTATCCGTCAACTTTTAGAACCCACCATAGTCTAGAGCGCAGCTCAAAGCCAATGTTGCCAATCGCCGTGTAATAATCTGATTTGCGGATCTTTTTGAGAGTTATATCTTCTTCGTATCTTTAAATAAATCGGATATTTGCCTATATTTTTCATTGTATTTACCAATCTACTACAACAGACTAATAACAAAAATAAACTTAATGGTTTGTAGTTATTTCAGAAGTTTGTAGTTATTGTAGAAACAACTAGTGGAATTATATTGACAACACCGCCCAAAATCTTCATCTCTGATAAACGAAAGAGGGGCTTGCCTAAAGGCGGCCACTCACGATACAGCGGCGTTGTTCAACTGCATTTTTAACTACACACTTGCTTTGATCATATTATAGAAAATCGAAATGGCTGGATTTAGCGAGAATTTTTTAAGAGAGTTTTTTAAATTATACAAAAAACAAGAATGCTTATAGCAAATAAAAGGTAAAAAGTATCACGATAGAAACGCCCGAAAACAGGCAACGGACAGTCTAGTTTTAAAGTTCCAAGAAGTAAACAAAGATGCGAATGAAGAGTATGTAAGAAAAAAAATTAAAAATTTTAGAACATCCTATAAAAGAGAATTAAAATTAGCAGTGCAGTCCAGTAAATCGGGTGCAGGGGCAGACGAGATTTATTTTGCACCAAAATCTTGGATTCTTTGCACCAGAATCTACGTTTTATTTTAGGTTTCTTTTTACGCTTAGTTATACACAAAGTAAGAGATGCTAAAATGATTGTTTGATTTGACATGGTTGAGAACCGAACAAATACTGTGGCGCAGTATGGTGTGTGGGCGCACCAGATATACTAACAAATTGAACAATACCTCTATCCGATTATGTCGAACATCACCGCTGTACCGTGAGTGGCCGGCTTTAGGAAGCGATAGGTGGTTTGACCACCTATGAATGAGTTCTTGAATTAGTTCAGAATCCAGCAGCCCACTGAAGTATTGGATTTTTATAATATAATTATTTGACAACCTTTTGTTGGCCAACCACCTACAAAATCGAATATTTATCGAGAAAGGGCTTAAAAAGAAAAAGGTAATGGTTCAAAGATTATCATCCTATTGTTTATAACTTCATCGCAAAAGCTGATCAAATTTGGCCGGTTGCTTCTCAGGAACCACTGCTCGTAATAAACTTTTTTACTTTTAAAAGACGAGTCTTTTTAATTAATTATTATTGAATAATTAATAAACAATAGTAATAAATAATAAATATCTAAATAGACTGATTACCAACTACAACATTTCTTAATTTTACTGCAATTAATATCATTTACTCAAATTTGTGTACTCACATTTGTGTCATATGCTAGATTAAAATTAATATAATTTTGTAAGGGCGCATAATATGTAACTTATTTATACACATGTTAAATATTTATTTGTCTGTATATATATTTTTAAATCTCACGCACTACAAATTTTATAGTAACTCCACTACAGTGGGTTTTTATGTGTATTCTAATCTAAGCTTCCTAAATAAACATTATTATTATTATTGAATGGTCTGCGTGTATACAATTCGTATTACGTTTGCTCATTCGTTTAGTTATTATCGCTGAAAGAAGTTCAGTTCATTTGGTTGATGAAATGTTTTGCATCCAAAGGGAGGACCTACAAGACATGCTAAACAAAACTTTGACACAATTTCCAGTAGTTTTCGCCTATTTTTTAGAGATAATATGGTAAATTACGTAGTTCAATGGACTAATGCAGAAGG